ACAGTTTATAATATTCACACTCAAGGTTTCCATTAAGGACAGGCCACTAGCTCTCTATAATGCTAATATGGAAAAATACCAAATATATGACATGCCCAAGTTGCAGAACAGCGTGTAGTACGTTACAGCATTTAGAGAAAAGTGTATGTCGTAGTTAAGAGTGGACATGCAACCAGACTCCTTGGGCTCAAATCCTTGCTCTGGGACTTTGGACAAGTCATTTAACCTTTCTGTGCCTTAGTTTCCGCACCTGTGAAATGGAAGATACAGTAGTCCCAACCTCCTAGGGTTGTCCAGGAGACTAAATAAGAGTTATAAGGCCTTTTTAGAAGAGTGTCTAATTCAGAGCATGTGTTCATTAAATAGGTTAACTTTTTTTTTTTTTTTGGCAGCACTGAAGTTTGAACTCAGGTCCTCATGCTTGCTAGGCAGGCTGTCTTACTGCTTGAGCCACTCCATCAGCGAAAATGGGAATGAATGAATGAGAAAGAATGGAGGAGTCAGGGGTCATGAACTATAGCTTAGGCCCTACCTCTGAGAGCTTGGACAGGGCTCTTAGCATTGATTTTCTCATTTGTCCCGAGGAACAAGCTTCCAAGTGTGAGAATCAGGTAGTTTCATGAGGGGGATAGTGCTCGGCCAAATAGAACAGCATGGAGTTGTCATGGAAGGCTTTATTACTGCTTTTATCTGTGGCAGTGGCACTGTGTGGATCTGGGCAGTGTCACTTGTGGGCAGGGAAACCTGTCTATGGGCTCTGGGCCCCCAGCCTCCTGAGGGCAGTGTCACTTGTGGGCAGGGAAACCTGTCTATGGACTCTGGGCCCCCAGCCTCCTGAAGGCCTTCCTGCCACTTCCGCTTCTGCTCTCCTGCCTTTGTGACTGATCTGCCCTATACCCCACCACTGCCCCGGGTACATGTAGAGGAGGCTGTCCTTGCCTCTGAGGGGCATAGTGCAGCCCTGGCTTCCCAGTGTGGTGCTGTTTGGCCTGTCACTGGTGGGAGGGGAGACTCAAGGCATTGACTGGGAGCATATGCTGCCAGATGCTCTGGGACCCCTGGAGATGCCAGTCAGTCCCTTCTCTTGAGCCTCAGGCCTGGCAGTCACCTTGACTGATTTCAGACATTGGTCCACTCCTGGAAGGACCCCGTCTAGCAGCCACAAGAACTGGGGCTCTACCTCCATCCTGCCACCAGATACTTGGGGCCCTGACTGAGCCACCTAATATCTCTGAGATGAGTTTTCCTGTGACAGTCTGCCCTCTTCACAGGAATGCTGGCGGTAATACAATAGGGATGAAGTTGCCGTGGAAGATGATTACATCCTTTAAAAAATATGTTCATTTGAAATTGTTTTCCCTCTATTTTAGGCAACCATACTGAGTATGCTTTCTGAGTCCATCTCTTTACGTAGGCATATCTCATTTAACCCTCTGTAGGAGTCAGATTAAGCCAAGTGCTGTAACAAACAAGCCCCAGATTTCAGAGACTCATGGAAGTAAGGGTTATTTCTCAATCATGTCTGACTCCAGTGCATCTTGGGGACTTGGCACAAGCTATTGTTAGGGGATCAGGTTCTTTTCACTTCATGACTCTTGAGCTTCCATGTCTTCTGCTGGGTCTTCAGTGGCAGAGTTTGGAGTCAGGCAAAATGATGATCACCATTTCCACCCATAGTCTACTAGCTAGCACCCAGTCCAGGAGCCCATTGGTGTGCTGCAGGGGAACACAAATCTCTGTATTTTCCCAGCCCCTACAGCAATCCATTGCACTGATGGAAAAACCAAGGCACAGAGGCAAGGTAGTTTTCCCAGGGCTGTGCATGCAGTAAGAGGTAGAGGTGGGGTTTGTCTTTTTCAGTACATCCTATTTCTCTTTCATGTCTTACTCTCTGAAGGTACTGTACTGTTTTAAAGTTCTCTTTAGTTCCTGCATTGTCTCATTTCCTTGGAATTTTTTTTTCTATGTATGTGCATGTATGCTCATTGAGCAAGGATTTGTTTGTTTGTTTGTTTGTTTTGGCTCTATTTTCTTGAGATAGAGTCTCACTATATATCCCAGGCTGGCCTTTAACTCATGATCCTCCTACCTCAGCCTCCCAAGTACTGGGACTACAGTTATGTACCATAGTGTCTTGTTAACTTTTTGCCTGGGCTGGCTGTGAATTGTGATCCTCCCACCTCTGCCTTCCTAGTAGCTTGGATTATGGGTGTGCAATGCCATGTCTGGCCCAAGGTGTTTTTTTTTTTAATTCAATATTTAATATTCTACTTCCTTGGCCAAGGGGACCCTTGTGGGTCAAGTGCAGACCCAGAGCTCTGCTTGTCCTACTCTATCCTCCCTGCATCCAGCCCTCTGCTGGGAATGGAGGGTAGTCAATGAGACGGTGATTTATAGGATTATTTGAGAAGGGGCTCTAGGCCCTTAGCATGTGCACCACTGTCCACTGGTCTTCACTTATACACAACATGAATTCAAAGAAAGTCGAGATAGCAGTCACATGGCCTGGGATGCAGCTCAGTGGTAAAGCCCTTGCCTACCATGCACAAGACCCAGGGTTTCATCTCAAGCACTGCAAAACAAACAAATGACAGTAATTGTAACAGGGCCTCCTTTTCAGCAACATTGGTGGTTTGCCCTTGTGATCCTCTTTGTGGTCATTCCTCTGGGAGACTTTCTGTTTTCCCAGAGGAGGGAGTCTCCATCTTCCTGTCTTCTGTGTCTTGGGGGGACTCCTGTGGAGACCCATGTGCAAGAGTGGGCCCCCTCTCCATGGGGGCACGAGATGCACTCTGCTACTTCTGCACCACTGCTGGCCATTCCTCATCAGCTTTCTACCTCCCAAATTGCATGAAGTCTCTCCCTGCTGCCAGGTTCCTCTTCCCTGGGAAGTAGGGGGTTCAGCTGGTTTATTCCTTTGCTGAACTTTTACTGAGAGTTTGGGGGAAGAGGAGAGAAACACATCGCTCCACCATGATTGGCCAGAAGTCAATTGAGTCTTGGGAATATAATTATCTTAGATGCTATTCATTTACCAAACACTTACTGACCACCTACTCTGTGCCAGGTGCTGTGGGAGGTAGCCAGAGAGGGTGCTGAAAGGCAAGTTCCTGCCTCCCTGAGGTGGGACTATGAATCCAGATCCAGAGGTGAGAAGACCCAGAAATGAAAGAATGAAGTGGAGGTGTGATGTCAGGAGGCTGTGCCAGGACCTGGGGTTGCACCTGGGACAGAGCCTGGCCTTGCAGATGTACTTCAGGAAGGCAGTCTTTTTTTCCTTTTGGCAGCACTGGGGGTTGATCTCAGGGACTTGAGTCTCGCCTCCAGCCCTTTATGCTTTGGTTATTTTTGAGATAGGGTCTCACTTTATGCCCGGCCAACCTGGACTACATTCCTTCTATTTGTGCTTTCCTGCATAACTGGGATGACAGACATGTGCCACTGCACCCAACCTCGGATTGAAATGGGGTCTTGAGAACTTTTTTGCCCAGGCTGGCCTTGCACTACAATCCTTCCCAAGTAGCTGGAATCTAGCAGTGAGCCACCAGGCTAGCCAGAAAAGCACTTTCTGAGTAGAGAAAAAGACAAGTTTTTCATCATTTTCCCTCCCTTTGCTGTAATGTTCTCACTTACCTTTGTGAAAACAGTGATTCTGCATTTGTTTTTTCTCTCCTCAGTCCCCTCTTTTCCTATTATTATTTTTTGAAAATCTATGGCTTCTAATCTTCCTAATCTGAAATAGCAGACAATCAAGTATGTTTGAAATGTATCTAAAATAAACATTAATTAAACTGTGAATTAAGGTTTGAAGGACTCAGCTGTAAAATGTAACAACTTTAATGTATCAATTTCATAACTTCTATTTTTACTGCCCAGTAGCCTTCTTAGCTGCTGCAGTTTAATTTCTATTCCTGATGACCAATGTTGCCATATAAATGAAGCATAGCAAATAATTTACTGTAAAACCTTCAACATAAGTTGCTGGTAGCCTCTGCCTTCCAGCCCCATACCGTTCTTTCTCTATGAAAACATGCACTGGCCTTTGGTTTGCTCACAATGTCGATTTTTAAATACCACATTTCCTTGATTCGAAAAGGCCTATGTCTTCACATTTTAACATCTTTAGAATAAAATGAGTCTTTTAATTGATGGAGGTTTTTGGCATTAGGTCACAAGTTTTCATCCTGTGTAGTCTCCCCCTCCCCTACTCCCACCAGGGGGAGGTAACCTTGACACCCTGGTCAGCTTGCCCAGCATTGCTTTGTGGTCAGATTCTGCCAGTTTTCTTTCTTAGGCCACACATGGTAAGGTGTCTTAGGATCAATGGTCTTAGAGTTAATGAAATACAGTATTTATATAACTTAAAGGGATTGGCAGATTGTTCTATTTCACCGGTCTGTCCCCACCCCAGCTGTGCTGGAGTGACAATATCCTCACTTGTTTGAAAGCCACTTTTTTCTCCCTATAACCATCTTATAATAACAATAACGGGAATAATAATATCAACTAAAGCAAGCACTTACAAAACACATAACTATGTGCTGCTGCTGCTCCAATCACCTTTCAGATACCTATCAAACACTCCTATGTCAGAGGCATGACTGCTGTCCCTGGTTCACAGATGAAGAGGTAGCACTCTTCAGAGGTAGCAGTGGCAAAGCCAGGAAGCCAGGCAGTCTCTCTCTGAAAAAGTCATGCTAGTGGTTCTGGGAGGCATCTCAAGAATCTTACTTACTTCATTACACCTTAGAATCAACCAGGTTGCTTTTGGAAAATGTGGAAAGAATTCTCCATGCCACTCTAACATGCAGCCAGAGTGTAGAGCCCTGGTTTGTGTGCCACTTGGGATGGGCCTGCCCTTTGATGTCACACCTCCTGGGTGGCTGCCAAGTAGTACGAGCCTCTTATGCTTTTATGGCTGGATCACTTGGTTAGAAATCATAGCTCTGAGACCTTGAACTGATAGGTGCTTTTAATTTTTATTCTTTTCTCTCTTCTAGCTCTGGAGTGCACAGAAAATCAAGCAGGTAATCCAATTTGGGATTCTTTTTCTTTCCTTTCCCATACCTTCCCAAATCTCTCCCTTCCCTGTCCCAGAGATCTAGTGGAAGCCCCTCCTCCCATGGCTATTTGGTACCCAACCTCTCCCCTTCCCTTGTCCCTGGTCACCTCACCTCTTCCTTCGACTCAAGTACCTGAGGGCCTGGGCTTCTGCAGTCTGGAGCTTAGGCCAGGCTGACCTTGCCCTGGGTGCTTTCTTCAGGAAAAGACGGGCTCCATCCACAAAATTCTGATTCTGCTGTGTGCCAGGCAGAAGGAGAGGGTCCCTGCTGCACTCAGCTTTGAGGACTAGTCAGGAAAAGGTGCTGTTCATGGCCCAATTTGCATTTTCTCTTGCCCTGAATGGTAGAAAGAACTGACCAGCCAGAAGGTAACATACAGCCTCTGGCATGTGAGTCATCTGGGAAACCTGTCCTTAACCTCCTTCCTGTCCTAATGCCTCTGTTTGTCCCCTCCTCCCCTTCTTCCTCCTCTCCCCACTGTTACCCTATGCTCTGTTCCCGGCTCTTGCCAGGCTATTCTACACCCGGACACCAATGAAAAGATCTTCATGCCTTTTAGAATGTCAGGTAAGCTGGGACCCTTCTGCCTCTGCTCAGCCTGTGATGCTGACTGTAGTCACAGTTCTAGGAATGGCCCTATGTGCTGGCCTAAGAGGGAACAGCCTGTCACACAAACAGCCACAATCACACCTGCATGTTCATCTTAGCTCTACCATGCAAGATTCTGGTCAGGCTCAGAATCCCCTTTGGTACTTACTTGCCTTTTCTGCCTGAGCAGTTGGGTAGAACCGTGGTCTCCAGGGCAAATCTGGTCCCCTGCCTAGGTCGTACCCCTATCGCCCATTAGGGCTGCTTCATACTTCTGCTATGGGCAAGACCTAACTTCTACAAGCCACTCCTCTTAGACTTGAGTGCCATGCACTCTTTCCTTCTAGGTCACTCACTGCTCCCTGTTCCAGGCTATTGGTCTCCAGATTAGCTCCCTATACTCTGATCTGCTGTATACCCTCTGTTTTGAATGGTTGTGTTGATTTTGCACTACTACACACATGGAGAAGGCAGGATTCCTATTCTGTGGAGACCTTGGACAGAGGGGGTTACAAGATCCCTGCCCCAGGAAGTCCCCACCCAGTGGTCTCTAGAGGACTATTTCTGTACATCTGGGCCTTATGGCTCAGAAATTACTTGCACAAGTACTGGCTGGGGCTGGCGTGGTTATCCTGTCTGTGGTTCTGACAGGTTATAGGTCTTGCCCAGGGTCACCCTGCAGAAGGTCACACTCATACCAATATGCCATCACTTCCTTGCCATTTCTTAGTGCAGTGAAGTATGTCCACCATGAGTCACAAAAGTGACATGGAGGGCTGCTGCATGCTGCTTTGGGAAGACCATACATGGCTGGATGAGTCAGTCAGGGTCCCCACTCTTGAGAACCTGACCTCATGGAGGCTAGAGATTAAACAACCAGGGTATGGAAGGTCACATGATGCCATCTTGCAAACTGGGGCAGTTAGTGTCCCATGGCCCCTGGCTTTGTGAATTGTGAGGCAGCCAAGGCTCCTAGCATCTTAGAGCTGTGACTGTCTTGCTCCCAGTCCCTGCCCCAGGCCTGGCAAGCTCTCACCCAAGCCTAGTTTCTCTTGTAATTCTGAACCTTTTTCAGTCATGCATTCCTCAGAGGCCCTGACCAAACTTGGGACCTCTCCCCAGAGTTGGGGGGGCAATAGAGCCACATCTCCTGTATACACAGTTATGCACACGCAGGGGATGAGAACTATGTTTTAGGTGCAACTAGGATGAGCATGCTCCCTGATGCCCAGTGCCAGCTGACTGCTGCTCCAAGTCAGAGGCTGGGGACAGGAGATCTGCCCACTGACAGGAGTAGGAGCCTTGCTGGGGGCCACAAGTAGTGAGGAGACTGAGCTAGGGCCTGGCTATGCTTCACCCCAGCCTTCTACTGCTCTACGGAGGCTATGCAATCAGGGCACTAGAGACTTAGGTGTGTGCCTCAGGTGGGTAGGGAATTCTCTTTCCAGGATGGTCATGGTGTCAGGGAAGTACAGAAAGACAGCTGAGCAAGAAATGAGACATTCTGGGGTCTGGGAATGTAATGAATGGGTGCAGAGGCGTTGTACTCTACGGAGATGAAGGCCAGAGCACTGCTGGTGGACCTGGGCCTGGGCAGCCCTGCCTGCAGGGACAGTGGGCCTCTGATTCTGGATGGGAAGAGCTGCCTGGCTAAAGAGGAATGGAGAGAGGGAAGCTGGGGTCACAGGGGAGACCCTTGCTGTAGGGGAAAGTTGCCTGGGGCTGGAGGTGCCTCCTGCCTAACTGTCCTGAGCCTTTTTGCCACAGTCATGAAACAGACCAAGCCAGGAGATTCCTGGGTATCTCAGTTGAGAGACAGATAGGTCATAATACCTGATTCTTTTCTCTCTCCATTCACAGGTTACATTCCTTTCGGAACGCCAATTGTAAGTATTACCTCCAAAAGATTGTATTCTCTAAAACAAATAATTTGAATGTATAATTTGACATCATCATTCATGAATACTTGACTGAGATACTGAGTTAGCATAACTTCCTAGAAGAGAACTATTGAATAAAATGGCGTCTATCTTTTTCTTTCACTTGCTGAGCCTTGTCGTCAAGTCCCTTTAGATGAAGGTCTGCTGACTTACACCAGTGTGGAGCCAGAAAGTGCCTTCGTCCCTGCACATTTCCCACCCCAGAACTGTCAGGGAAAACAGGCAAGGTTTCCAAAGGAATTGGAGAAGTGGGAATATAAGGGCCCCTTCTGAAGAAAGAATTCAAAAGGGGCTTTTGGTGTCTTTTTGTTCAGTTTTGGAATCAGGTTTAGCTCTTTTCATTATTTTCTTGTGTTACCTATTCCACTTTATGAATATGGATAAATCTCAAAAACAGTACTCAGTAAAAAAATGGTAGTGGAGTAGTGATGCTCTCTGATGTCATTTCTATCATGTGTAAAAATAGGCAAAGTGCTTCTATGTATAGTTTATGGGTATAGTTTCTGTGTGTCTGTAAAAGCATTCGTGACAGCAGTGAGCAACAAATTCACTGTACTGTTCACCCTGGGGGAGAGAAGTTGATACAACCTACTGGGAAAATGGGGTTCTTTCTTTGTGTTTGTGCCATTTCATCTTTTACAAAAGACAAAATTTGCTGGGCACCAGTGGCTTGTGCCTCCGATCCTAGCTACTTGGAAAGCTGAAATCAGAAGGATCACTATTCTAGGCAACTCTAAGGAAAAAGCTGGGCATGGTGGTAAGGGCCTGCCATTCCAGATGTGGCAGGAAGCCAAAAATAGGAGGATCACAGTCCAGGCCAACTTGGGCAAAAAGTAATACCATATTTTCAAAATAACCAGAACAAAAAGGGTTGGAGGTATAGCTCAAGCTTGCCTTGCACAAAGCCTTGAGTTTAAACCTCAGTATCATCCCCCTCAAAAAAAAACGACAAAATTTTCACAAAAATTTGAGGAAATGATAAGATGTAATAACATATGAATGCTCATTATATTAACTTCTAGATTGTCCTGAATGCTTGAAAAATTTCATTTTATACTTACGTATTTTTTAGTTTTAAAAATTGTTGAGATATACCCAAAAGACTGTGACACAGATTACTCCAGAGGCACCTGCACACCCATGTTTATTGCGGCACTATTCACAATAGCCAAGTTATGGAAACAGCCAAGATGCCCCACCACTGACGAATGGAGTAAGAAAATGTGGTATCTATACACAATGGAATTTTATGCAGCCATGAAGAAGAAGGAAATGTTATCATTTGCTGGTAAATGGATGGAATTGGAGACATCATTCTGAGTGACGGTTAGCCTTGGCCCAAAAGACCAAAAATCGTATGTTCTCCCTCATATGTGGACATTAGATCAAGGGCAAACACAACAAGGGATTGGACTATGAAGCACATGATAAAAGCGAGAGCCACAAGGGAGGGTGAGGATAGGTAAGACAACCTAAAAAACTAGCTAGCATTTTGTTGGCCCTTAACGCAGAGAAACTAAAGCAGATACCTTAAAGCAACTGAGGCCAATAGGAGAAGGGACCAGGAACTAGAGAAAAAGTGAGATCAAAAGAATTAACTAGAAGGTAAACACCCATGCACAGGAAATCAATGCGAGTCAATGCCCTGTATAGCTATCCTATCTCAACCAGCAAAAACCTTGTTCCTTCCTATTATTGCTTATACTTCTCTATACAACAAAAAATTGAAAGGGCAAAATAGTTTCTGCTGGGTATTGAGGGGGTGGGGGGGAAGAGGGAGGGGGCGGAGTGGGTGGTAAGGGAGGGGGTGGGGGAGAAATGACCCAAGCCTTGTATGCACATATGAATAATAAAAAAAAAATTGTTGAGCTGGGTGAGGTAGCTCAAGCCTATAATCCTACTTACCTGGGAGGCAAAAATGGAGAAAATCATCATTCAAGGCCAGCCTGGACAAAAAATTCACAAGACCCCATCTCAATTAATGGCTGAGTATGGAAGCTCACACCTGTCATCCCAGCTAGGCAGAGAAGTACAACTAGGAGGATCGTGGTCCAGGCCACCCCAGGCGTAAAGCAATCAAAAATATCTCAAAAATAACAAAAGCAAAAAGGGCTGGCTAGATGCATGGCTAAAGTGATAGTGTCTGCCTAGCAAGTGCAAGGCCCTAAGTTCAGCCCCTGGCACCACGGGGAAAAAAAAAAAAAGAAAAGAAAAAAACTAATCAGTAATCAAGAGAAATAAAGAACACTTTTTTTTTTTCTTTCTTCTTCTTTTTTTCTTTTCGTGGTCTTGGGGATTGAACCCATGGCCTCACCTTGCTAGGCAAGCACTTCAGCAGACACTTTTGCTGTGCCTCTCCTCCAGCTCTCTCCTTGTGTGTGGTGCTAGGGGTGAAACCTAGAACTCTATACTAACTTTCACGTTTCAGTGTGATGGCACTTGGTATGTTACTGGCAGTTTTATTTGCTTGATGTTTTCCTTTCTCTCCCACACACTTGAAAGATCTTTGTTTTATTGAATATTCTCGCCTTGAGTTCTGTTTATGTCACATCGATATTTCTGTTCCAGTTTTGCTTAATATATTTGCCTCATATATCATTGCCTATATTTTTATGTCAGTCATTTAATTTCTGTGTCATTTTGTATGATAGGTCTCCTTTAGACAAAATGTAGCTGAGTTTTACTTTTTTAACTCAATTTGAGAATTATCACCTTTAATTTTAGTACTAAATGGAGCCCATTAATACTTACCTGCCACTGATTGCTGTGACAACTTCTGCCAGCCATCAAATTATTTTTTGCTGATTTGTTTATTGACCTTTGATGTTATTTCCATTTCTATTCCTAATTTGTACTACAATGATAGTTTTCATTGGTTCTTTTAATTCCTTAAGTAATTTGGAAGGGGGAACATCCTAATTCTGTCTAATTACCATTCATCTGAATTATTTTATAAGACAGAGAGGTTGCATTTTCTATATATACCTTATAAATACCAGGAATCAAGTAATAAGATTTCCTCAATCCTACCCACATAGAAAGAGACTATTAGCAACCATTTTTTTTACTCTAGGATTTTTTTTGTGGGGATGGGCAAAGTCTCATTATGTAGCCAGGCTGACACCAAACTCAAGATCCTCCTGAATGCTGAGAACAGGCATGTGCCACCACACCTGGCACTTACTCTAATCTTTATCATATGCCTGCCAAGTTTTTTGATATAATCTGGAATCTCATCAGATTTGTGAAGCTCTTATTAACAGCTGCATTAGACTTCACAGTTATTTAGGCTTTGTGTATTTTGTGTTTGGCTAGAATATTTCTTTAAATAACATTCAGAGTATGTGGCAATCCAATTCTGAATCTTGCATATCTGGAAATGTCTTTTTTCTTTTTTCTCTTTCATACATGAACAATGGTTGGCTTGATTCTCTTTTCCTTTGTAAGTAAACTTCTCCCCTTCCCCTGGAATCATTTGATATTTTTTTCCTCTTATCCTTGGAGTTCAAAAATATCTCTAGGATTAAAAAAATTTCTGTATATTTTGTAAAATTTTACAAGTAATACATGAATATGTTCTTTGAGATTCAAAAATACCACCAAGAATTTTTTTTATAAAGAATATTTTAAAAGTTATAGAAGTAATGCATGTATGTCCTCTTTGCTCAGAATTCAAACAGTACAGACTAAAGTGAAAATCCTTCTGCTAACCCTTAACTCCAAAGCTTTGCCCAGAAGTAACCTCTCTTGGAAGTTTGTGTGAGCTTCCAGCTTTTTTTCTAGGAACATGTGTAGGTATACGTTATCACTGAAGTTGGTTTTTGGAGCTAGGCACCTAGCCTGCACCTGGAGGTTTTGAAGGATTGCTTGAACCTGGAAATTCAAAACCAGCCTGGGTAATACAGCAAGACTCTCCTATCTCAGAAACAAAATAAAACAAAAAAACATGGGGCTGGGGTGTGGCTCACTGGTAAAGCACATGCTAATTAGCATGCACAAGGTCCCAGCACCCCCAAAATATTTTGTTTTGTGGGTTTTTTCATTAAAAATGTAACAATTACCTACAATTAGTAGTTATATAGAAATCAGCTTCATTCATTTGTTCATTTGTTTGTTTTTTCTGCTGTGTAGTATTCTGTCCCCTAGTAATGGGTTTAGGGGACCAGAATTACTTCTGGTAATTTGCTGTTAAAAACAAATGTGACAAATTCTCCTGAAGCTCTTTTTGCCAAGTATAAGGTCTTCTCCAGGAAAGTGAGCTTATTACATAAAAGGCTAGCACATTCACTTTTTTTTTTTTTGGTAGTACTGAGGTTTGAACTCATGGCTTCACTCTTGCTAGGCAGACGTTCTACTACTTGAGCCACACTCATAGCTTTTTTTTGTTTTAGTAATTTTTGAGGTAGGATCTCAAATTTTTTTGCCTGGGGCTGGCCTAGACCGTGATTCTCCTACCTAGGCCTCCTGCCTAGACTCTCAGAGCTACCACCCCTGGCTTATTGATTGAGATGGGGCCTCACTAACTTTTTGTCTGGGATGGCCTCAAACTGTGATCCTCCATATACCCCCTCCTGAGCAGCTTGGATTGCAGGTGTGAGCCACCATGCTTGGCACATTTACATTTTTAATAGTGCTGAATTTCTTTTTTAAAGGTTTTATTTCCCCATACCTTTGTGGCACTGGTATTCGTCTTTTCAATAATTTGTCAGTCTGATGGGACAGGGGGTGACTTCTCATGATTTTAATTTTTAGTTCCCTGAACACCAAAAAAAGATTGTGCTTTTTTCCCCATCTACTTTTTGGGCATTTCTTCTGTGAATTAATCACCTGTTCATACCTTTTGTACATTCTTCCATGGGCTATGTTGTTCTAATTTAGTTGTAGATCTTTTCACATTTTGGATATTAGTCCTTTGAATTATATATATTACACATCTCTCTGACTGT